CAATTACTTTTACATATAACAAACACTTGCTATTTCTTTTAATTGGCGAAACTAAATTACCTTTTGCACGTATTAAAGGATTACATGAAAAGCTAATAAGAGAATTAAATGGTGCAACAAACGATTTATCGTTTTATATGTGATAGGTAATGTAGCTTGTATTCTTTCTTATTATATAAATCCTAGCGTAATTGTTTATCGTTTTTACTTTCAAATAGTACAATCCAAATGAGATTTTACATTTGTCAGATAACAATAGAAAAATTAGATTTACTTATTTCATTGATGATGCTTCAATTCAAATCATTGCTCCAACTATTGAAGTTTTTTAAAAATTAAGGCATTTGTTGATATTAAATTTTAACCATTTGTACCTAGTACATTGAAATTAAATGAAATAGAGAAAAGTTTAGAATTGACTGATGTTGAGCTGTTGTTATGCATTAACTTTTTTGATGATATTATTAGTATATTGGCAGTTGGCGAAACAACACATAAAATGAAATAATATATAGCTGCGCATATTTTTTAGCAAGTTTAATTTCAAATTTAAAAATTTCGTTAAAGCTGTAAAGATTGTAAATATAAAGATGCCAAGGATAGTAATAACAATTAATCAATGTTCTTTCATAAATATAACTATAGAAAGCACATATAATTTTCTTCTGATGATGAGAGTATAATTTACATACACATGAAGATTGTGATGATAGATGACCAAAAGATAAATGCAAGGCCAAGGCTTTATGTCTTTAAGTGCTGTGATTGATAAACTATTGTTACGGTGTTTTCTTTTCATCATACTTTTTACCCCTAATGTTATAGCTTTTCGTAATTATTATCATTGTTATAATCATCACCAATTACTTTCTTCCTTTTCCTTATTTGTATGGTTTACTTCACCTGAATCAAGTTCGATTCATATCACCATCATCATCTTTTTGATCGTCTATTGTTGACATCTTGAATTCTTTTCCTTTGAAATTATTCATTTTCAAATATGAAGGTACATTCCAATAAAAGCAGATCGTA